CACACCGTCGATCGCGTGCCGAGAACCACCGACCGACACGCGGATGGTACCGCCGCCGACGACAACCCTGCCACCGTCACTGCCATGACGAGAGGATGCAGGATTCCACCCTACCTCGCCACTCTACTCATCCTCTCTTACACGCTCTTCGGCATAGCAGGTTAGTAGATCAACTCTGTTTACGTTATCTCTTTCGTTCTTCTCGATCTCTGTCTTCCTTCTTCCCCTGTTCTTCGCGAGTTCAGGTTCAGGATTGATAGGGACCCTGTGATCCGCGATTGTGCGCTCGGAAGTGATCGGTAAACAGTGACACGCGTAGACGATCCGGTACGCGGTCAGGGGACGAGTCTAGATGCTTCAGTGCGACTTCGCCCAAGTGTGTACCGATGGATCGTGATGTGAATCGAGTTTGTGACACTGTGGAGGCCCCTGTTACTGAATTCTGGGACTCTACCGAGGGGTTCGTCGGGGTAGTTAACGCTTCGAGTGAAGAGTATCGTATAAAACACTTCAGTGCACTCTGTCGAGCAGAAGCTACGGGGAGAGAACTTCGGACACTCGGTATTTTCTAATTTCCGATGATATCCAGAATTATGATTCGTATTCGTAGTTTATCCTCGAACCTCGATTCACTGATCGTTGCCGGACACTGAAAATCGGCGAACCACGTACCGTTACGAGCGCGAAACTTGGGGAGCCGTGTCCTTACAAAGAAAGTCACCGAACGAGTACGACTCCGCGTCAATTAGCGTGCGGTGTTGCAGAGGCACGCGATCATTCGATTCATCGGGGAGCGACAGATTGCGAGACACGCGCGACGTCGAAACGTCGGCGGCCCCGATTACGGTGCATACCGGGAGACCCCGAATTATTTCCGGAAATATCAAACACATGGTACACCGGTCACGGCCGCGCCGCGCCGCGCGCGCGGCGTGTCGATTCCCTCGCGGAACGGCGAACAAAGCAGCCCACGGATCGGCCCCCGGGAAAGAAAGGGGGATGGCGGTAGCGGATCGTCGCCGCCGTCGCGTATCGATGGAAACGCGACACACGATTCCCTCGAATTGCGATATACGACGCTTTGTCTCAGAAATAACCGGCTGTCCGCGATAAACCGGTACGCGCGTCGCTGTTTGGAAAGAAATAGAGGCGACGCCTGGAAACCGCGACGTTCAGGGTGGAAGAATTCGATTAGAAATTGTTTTTTGGAAGATTCAACCCTTGTACCTTCGCGGAATGGATTAATTGTGTAGCTTATTTTTGCTTGGAATTATAGAAATGTTAACGAGCGTTTGGTTGATTGTATAAGAGAAACTTGGACATTCTCGAGAAGTGATTTATCTAAAATATATTTCGATAGATTTGAAAGTACAAGAAATTTTTATGAGAATTAGAGACATTCATAATAGCATTCATAGAATTAAAATATTGAAGTTAAATAGTAGTACGTCACACTGCAGAATATTCCGAATATTTTCTTTACGAGATGTCCTCCGAGTTTCCCCGAAGAAACGCGTTAAGACAAAAAAGGGATGTTCGTTCGCTGGAATCTCGAAGCACGCGCAGAATCGGCCGGGCCTTACGGTCCCCGGCGTGTACGGCAGATTGCAAGAATTAGAACAGGTGACAGATAGCGACGCGCCGCACGGGTGTATGCAACGTGCATCGTCGTTGTGCACAGGAACGCCGTGCTCTCTTCTCTCCGGCGAGTGCAGGCCAGCTCTCTCGCTACCCTCTGCTGCACACGGCATCTGCGAATATTTGCCCGATCCTCGGCGTCACCGAATCATCCGATCGACGGGTGGATTTCGCGTTCCGCGCGTTCCTCCGACTACTTTTTCACCTTGCCTCTCGAGTGCTTTAATTTTTTTCACCGGGCGGACGAACGGCGGGGGCGTTTTTCTGACGTTGAAACGAAAGACACGATCAGAATGTGGATTTTCGGAATGTACACGCGATGGATGCGGCGAACGGGAAAATATCGAGCGATCGATGAACACGTGGATCGAAGATACGTGTAAAGGGGTTGAAACCATTTTTTTTTAGCTGGTGTAGCTCGTATCGTATGAATTTCAAGGATCCCGCAGTTGATTTTTATCTGTATTTACAAATACGCGAAGATCAAACACTTCGTTCATTCGTTTGGTAGGATTTTAAATTAGACGGTTCTCCATGTTTGAAGATGTTCGAGATCGTCGCGATGTTTAACTAACGGAGCCGACGACAAGTGGTCGCATTACTTTTTCCAAACCGTTCGATTAGCCGTGTTTGAATAGACTTAGAACCGTTCCTAGGAAACACCATTTTTGTTCGAACCGAAGGCAAACATCGAAACTAAGGACGCGTCACTGGTAAAACCCCTCGAGCAAACATCGGGAACATCGGAGCGACTGATAACGATAACGGCGCGTCGCGTGTAACGATAAGACGGATAAGGGAACGTCAAACATTCCGATTAAACACGAAACGCTAGAATTTTTGCTCACCTCAAATTCGCGATAACCCGTTCGATAACCCTATCTTAATTACAAAGTACGTTCCAAAAGCAGCCTCAAGCTAATTTCATCCCCTAACACGAAAAGCAGTCAGTAAGAAACTCAAACGAATGAGGAACAAATATAGATTTCAAAGAATTACACAGAAAATTCTCGAAATCACAATTAAAGCCCGTCAGTCAATGATCCTCGACGCATCGCGAGACAAACGTCGCGGCGTTCGATCCATTCATCCACGACACCGACGCACGCAAACAAATCAAATCAAATTTCCCGGCGACTGACAATGTGAAAAACGAGCCGACGGCAGGGGTTTAACATAAATTAGCGACGAGATGGAAGTCACAAAAGGAGACGGAGCTCCTTCGCGTCGAAAAGAATGGTATCGGGAGTTAAGTTTTTGGGGTGCGCGGGGGCAGGGGGCGGCGTGCCAGGGTGGATCGAGCACTGGGCACATATTCCGGCCGCCCCTGGAACACGGCCGCCCTTTTGTGCTCGGTGAACCTCGAAGCCGTCGGAATTTCTAAAGCTGCGGGGCCCCATTCGACAATTCGCCTCTCGTTCGTAACCGGTAATGGGATAAACGATGCTTGGCCTTTGGTCGTTACACAACTTAATCGAGCGAGTTCGCCGCTCGCCCGGTTTCTCGCCCCGGCTTTCGACGATCCGACGTCTCGCAGGACAATCGCGATCCTGGACAATGAGCCGCTGTTTTTTCGTTGCTGCGCAGAAACCGATCGCGATTAGCCGTTCGTTGCGCGATTAGATTTCGTGGCGTTCTAATGAAAATTCGAGGGATTCTATTTCATCTTTTCTCCTTTTTCTTCTGTGTTATATATTCTTTCGTGAGTTTATGTAATTGTACGGTTATCGTTCGACATTTGGTATAATAGACAGTTTGATAGATTGTTTTAGTTCTTTGTGCTTTTCGATATTCCCGGATATTGATCTCTGTTTTCAAATAACCTTAACAGGTTACTCTTACGAATCTAACATTTGCTCCTTTCTTTCAGTGTTACGGTTACATAAATTTCATTGGCTTTTCTTATTTTTCCCAACAGACGCCTGTTCGTCGCGGTCGACGCCGAAGCCACGACCGCCGACGCCGACGCCTCGACCGAACATCACATTCCACATGTACACGTGTCCACCGGATTATGCGGAATGGTACTGCCTGAACGGTGCCACATGTTTCACTGTCAAAATCGTCGATTCCCTCCTGTACAATTGCTTGTAAGTAATCAGACTTCTTAATCTGCCCAACAAATGAACCAGCCCTCTTACAGTACTAACTAACACTCATATTACAACAAACAACGAAGAACCCGAGTAAAAACCATAAAGCCAAAGCAACGTCGCAAACATTTAACACGCCGAACACAATTTCCTAGAGCAAAATATACAAAATGGACGCCCATCTTGTTCAGTGTCACCGCAATGTTTTCAAATAATCGTTTAATTCAATGAACTATTAACCCTTTGCACTCGAGAGGTGCCTCTCGCTCACCAATCGATTTCATACAGTAGAACTATAAAATTTGATACTTAAACTTCGTACAATGCATCAATTTGAGAAATATTCCAACAAAATAGCTTCGCCCCTCGATGGAAGTTTGATTTCTCGTCGGGTTAGTTTCACAAAATATCCTCTCTATCTCATCAGAAGACGTTAAAATATTTCTAATGAAAAACTTCCGAGTCCAAAGGGTTAACGCGCTTTGATTGGTCACCGGTGACCCCCACATTCAACGCGTTAATATCAAAATCAATCGATTAACTTCTTCCTCGACCCCCAGTACCCTATAGAAAACAATCTCCCGCGTGCGAAATCAGAAATCATCGGTCGAAAGGATCCCCCAAAAAAGCGACGGGACGAATCGCCGAGAGAAAGAAGTCGGCCCGAGGAATCTCAAAAAGCCGTTTACAAGAATGTTCTCATCGCGGCGTTTTATATTAGAAATAAAACGCGGCGGGGTGTTCATGGGAGCGTGGCCGCGAATCGGCGCGCACGCTCGCTCGCACGCTCGCCCGCGATTGCGGACATTTAAATCATGTCCGCGTTCGACTCGCGTGTTTTCGTTGGGCCGATAAACTATCCGTTTGACCGATCGTTCGGCGTGTATCTCGCGACGCGCGCCGCCTGTGTTGCGCCGCTCGAGGTTTAGAAATCTACCGTGAATAATAACCGGCCACCACTTCGAACGGTGTTCGTTGTACACCGGCCTCTCCCCGGGGCCCTTAATTTATGCCGCCTCTAATGCGATCGTGACGCGTTCGAAATGTTAACGCTGGGAGCACGTCGCACCGCGAAACAGAAACCGACTGATTTCTCCCGGCTGTTTAACAATGCGCGGCCCCGGAATGCCGATTATTCGTGAATCGGATCGGATCCGATCGGTTCACGCCCCGCGACACGCCATATTGTCTTCCTGCGACTTTCCGCGCGATTTTTATGCTTTTAGTTCGATCGGTGGTACTTGCATCGTTGTTGACACTGTTTTTGGGGATCTTAGAAGTTCGAGGGAATTTTGTTTATTGAGAGAATTGGGAGATTTGTTTTTTGAATCGAATCAAAGTGGTTCTAGCTTCGAATTGACACTGATTTCGGAGATTTTAGAAGTTTGAGGGAATTTTGTTTATTGAGAGAGAATTGGAAGACGAAGGTTTGTTTAATTAACTTCATTCTTGAAGAGTTTAACACTAGAACTACCGTGCCAGTCAGAATGACTGGTTTTGATTGTTTTGTTCCGCAATTATTGATATCTTGAAGGCATTGAATATTCAAAATTACCTTGAAAATCAATAGTTTTACTTGACTACTGTAATGAATGTCCGAAGAAACTGAAAATAATCTATTGTGACAATTTTTATGGGGATTATATATTAATCGTATTGAATACACGGTAGTTATGTTAACTTAGAATGAACTGTATCTGAAAATAGCGTTGTCTTTATCAGTTCTTTTCATATTCAGTCGTGAGGAACTTTTTGATTATTATTAGTTAATAGTATTTCGAGAAGTAAAACGTAGATTGTTTTGAAGTTTCTTGGTAATAGATGTTTAAACGGACGACAACTGGCTAATGAAGGTTCCAGTAGATCGCGAGGTTATACATTTCAGATAACTTCGATATAGAGTCGTCTCGCTTTAAGTACGGTTTAGTGTTGTTTTCGCTGATAAGGATCGGACGCCAAACCCCACGATCTAGGAACAACGTCCAGGTATACATATATATTGAAGATATATATACTGTACTCCTGTATTTATACCTGTTTAGACTCCAATTCCGCGTTTCTTGGCTCCCGGAAGATTTACGAGCTCGTAAACCCCACTGTCCATTAACGACACTTTTTCACTTTATTTTCCCGACCGACACGATTTTGTTGTACCACGGTGCCAGCGTCGAAAAAATTCCCACGGGTTCGAAAGTCGGCGTTCGATGACGGTGAAACTCGGTGAACCGAACTGATTGGTCTCTAGGTCGGTTTGTGGTTCAAGGAAATTCATTTCAGTCGATGCTCTTGTGCTAAATAATTCGTATACACCGTGGACGAACGTTATTTCAATTTTTAGTTAACGATTCTTTATTCGGTTTGAGGTTGAAGTTAAATTTATAGAATTGAGTTTTGTTTAATAAATTTAATAATAACGCGATGAAAATTGGAAAGAATTTGGTTCACGATGAATTCGATCGGATATACTTGTTTAATATTTAATATCGGGATGACTTTCATTCTTGACAGCTTACGAGGAATTCACGAAATTCTTGGCAAAGTGGGACGCGACAGAATTAACGATAGTTTATACACGATAAGATAAAGCGTCTCGAAGGCGATTTACAAAAGGAAAAGGAAGAGGGAAAGAGTCGTGACTCGATGGAACGATTACAACACCTTCGCATTATGTGTGGAATTTCAGCGCCGCGAAGACGCTTTGGAATCTTACGTAATGAGACACACCCTTTGTAAATAGAAGTCGGTCGAGTGTATTAGTCGAAAATACACGGGACACCTGAGAACCTGATTCTCGCAATCGACATTTCGGAGAACGCTGGTATTCCCATGCCGACTTGCACAATATTATCTATAGAAGAATTCCGAGGAATCGACGGGATTAAAACGACTGCTTCCAGTTTGGGGAAAGGAAACCGAACAATTTCACTGAAAACATAAAGTTTTATCTTCCTAAATTACAAAAGTTCAATTCTTCAAACCACCATCAGACTAGATATTCATATTCAACAATTCAATCTTGACAATTCGAAACAGCTGAATTCTGTCGTCACAAGTCCTCAAATTTATACCTTAAAAATTTACAATCCTCACACTCTTTCCAATCATTCATTCTAGAACTTCCAAAGTTCACTGATTTCCAAAATCCTATCGCGATTAGATTTCGTAACGTCCAAATGAACATTCTAGTTTTATTCTATTCTATAACAGAAAGTTTGCTAGTTTGTTTTAGTTCTTTGTGTCTAGATCGATCTATTTCGGTGAATTGAAGAAAATTCACTGATCTCCAAAATCCTCTAAAAATCGTCTAAAACTCCTACTTTCACACTTGCCGCGGCCATCCCCCAGAAGCCAACCCCAAAACTGCGGACCCCACTAAAACCATAAATTAGCCACCATCAATCCGTCATCCCCTCATTTCGCAAACGTTTCATCCCCCGGTGCGGTAACCATTTGCCAGTCACCTGTGCGTGAACGGATCCCTCTGCCCGCGCCCCGACGCGGCCCACCCCCGTTCCCAGAATCCTAAAATGTGCGGGACGGATGCCCGGTCGCGTCCGTCGGCTGAAAAGGGATCGCTCCGAGACCTTGTTCCCGTTGTCGGGGGTTGAGCGACTTTTTTCACCGCTCACGCTCGCTCCCTCGTGGGGTTGAATCCGTGGTCGCCGCGGGGGTGGAACAATCGGCGAGCCCTAATCCCCGGTCGCGCGGCGTCGACACGTCCGCCGGAATTCCTGCGGGAGCAGGATCGATTGTGCCAATCGACCTTTTTTCAACCCGTGATCATGGACCGACACGTCCACGGCCGATCGTGTGCGGCCTTCGCGGAGGCACAGGCCATTCAGGCCGGCTAAGATTGATTTCGACCGAAGGTGAAGTTCTCGGATAACCGAACGGTTTTCACGTCTTCTCGACGTCAACATTATTGAGAATCCTGCGTTACCGTGAAGGGTAATTCTGGGAGTCGAAGGTTCTTGAAATGCAGGTCTTGGTTAACTGGTTGGGTTAGTTGAGGTTCGCGTCTTTTCGACGTCAAAATTCTTGAGAATCCTGCGTTACGATGAAGGGTAGTTCTGGGAGTCGAAGAATCTTGAACTGCAGGTCTTTAATTTAATTTTTAAGTTAAGTTAACCCCTTGCTGTACAATGACGAGTGACACTCGCGATCAAGATTTCTAGACTAATTCAGCATCAATTTAGCAATCGATGTTATTCATTACCTACGGATCAAAGCAAACTATTTTGCTATCATCATTGTATTATCTTCAAATAAAATTTCCACTTGAAGGAGAATGGACTTGTTGCATTTCTTTCAAATTGTCGATAGTAAAATGGTACATGAGCTTTGTGGCGAAAATAAATAGTACGCCAAGGGGTTAACTGGTGGTTGGGTTCGTTGAGGTTCACGTCTTTTCGACGTGAAAATTCTTGAGCATCCTGCGTTACGATGAAGGGTAATTCTGGGAGTCGAAGCTTCTTGAAATGCAGGTCTTGGAGGTAGTGTATAGTTTGAAATGTTTGGAGATGGGATATTTGTTATATGGATCTCGAATGATTCGAGTGTCTCGGAGAAGCAGTGGTTAGAAGGAAATTGATGGATTATATGATTCTATATGAGATGAGGATAGTGGCTAGTTTAGGGGATAGGGATTAGAGGATGAAGATGGTTCTCTCGAGTTTTGTTTTATTTTCAAATGCTTTATTGGTAGATACGAATGTAACGAGGTCTACCAAGAGAAGTCTTAAATCAGTTATACTATTCATCCACGCGAGTAAATGAGGAGCTAAAACAGACGATTCTGAAGTGAACGTAGCTTCAGGACCAGTGAAAATGATTCATGCCGCGAGTAATTGTGCGTTTTACATCCGGAGAGGTAAGAATCATCGGACCCAACCTGCGCCATGATCGATCGGCCGGCTTTCAACCATCGATCTAATCGACGACCTTGCAGTACTTTTCCCAACCGCTTAATTACAACGTTCCGTAGTAGTGTCGACGAAGAAAAGAGATTTACTCGCGTCCGGATCCCGTAAATCTGGTTTACCCCGGCTCGGTTCTCACCTCTGACGTCAACGTTCGACACGCCGTAGAAAATTACGCAAAATCGCGAACGGATCCCGATCACCTTCTTCCGAACGGTCGGCCGTCCGCAGGACGCGCGGGAAAGTGGAAACGCTTACTTATAGCAGCACTTTCCACGGCCGAGAATTTTCTCCGTCCGCTTCACGGAATCCTCCCGGCCGCCCCGCGGAAATTATGGGAGCGCGAACGAGGAAAAAGTAGCACGAACGGTCCCGCGTCGGATGGATCGGTGCTCTGCGACAACTCCGCTTGCTGGACGCTCGATAATGCTTGCTCTTCGAGCGTTTAATTAGCACTTGTACCACTCGAAATGACCTATAAAGTTTGGGAATTGGACAATTTTTATGTTTAAATGATTGGAAATGTAAAGCTTCGATAGTTTGAAAATTTGAAACTTTGAAACTTTGAAGATTTGAAAGTTTAAAAGATTAAAATGTTGAAAGTTCGAAACGTTAAAAATTTGAAAGATTTGAAACTTTGAAGATTTGAAAGTTTAAAAGATTAAAATGTTGAAAGTTCAAAACGTTGAGAATTTAGAAATTTGAAAGCTTGAAACGTTGAGAATTTAGAAATTTGAAAGCTTGAAACGTTGAAAATTTAGACATTTGAAAACTTGAAACGTTGAGAATTTAGAAATTTGAAAGCTCAAAATGTTAATAATTTAGAAATTTGAAAGCTTAGAACGTTTAAAGTGAGAAAAATTAGAACACACGACCATTCGAATAATTTTCCAAATAGTTGGAATTCCGAAGATCCTGAATTACGCGAGAAATCAGAAATAAATCATAACGCTCGCTTCGCAATTTGCTTCGCGCAACTTCGCGAGAACAGCCTTGCGCCTCGCAAACATTATTCCTGCGGAACGTCAAAAACGAATGATGCTATGCATAGATAGATACACCGCTGTACAATTAGCCACGAGGCACATTCTCTCCAGGCTTAATGAATATTCAATAGCGTGATCTTCAGATATCCAGACCGTCCTTTCGAACAATTTGCAAACTCGATCTGCCGAGACGGTTCCGATATTAACGATCCACATCGCGTGGGTGAGCAACGGAAGCGTGGCACGAGCGTTCGAGCGAGCGGAAAGAAAACGCTTCGGAAACCTCTTCGCGTGTATCATCGACCGTCGTCCAACAACACGATCGATCCTCCTCGATTCACCCTAAAATCGATCGATCGATTCAACGCTAAAACTACCAAACAATCGATCAATTTAAAAATCATATAGATTGTTCAGTCACCATTTGATTTCCTACAGTAAAGCTATAAAATTTGATACTTAATATTATACTTCATATGGACCGTTTATTTTGAAAGTGGTGTAAGTCCATTTTTGAAAAAATATAATACTTCTATTTTATGTCGTGTCATTATTTGTAAACAAAATTGGATTAATATGAAGCATATTTTAAGTGATATTTAATTCTTCAAAATTGAAATTAAACGATTTTTACAATTGTCTAATTTTGAAAGTGCTGTCCATTTGCAGCCCGTAAGTATACATCGGTTTAATAAAATACGCCTAAAACAAATTTTTGCCTAAATTTTCTAATTAACAGATACGTTAACCTTTAATTTCCTCGAAACAAGATAAAATGGACTTACACCACTCTCAAAATAAACGGTCCATATAATGCATCAGTCTGAGAAATATTGACGTAAAATAGCTTTGTCCGTCAATTCACGTGAATTCCTCGAGTTGGTTTTACAAAATATCGTCTTCGTCTCATAAGAAAATGTTGAAATATTTCCAGTGAAAAACTTCGAAGTTCAAAGGGTTAAAATCAACATATATATTACTCTATCGCCAAATCAATCCATTCCATTCGCATCATACAACAAAATAAAAGACTGTACATACCGATATCACTAAATGTCAACATCGTCGTTGCAACGCGAGTGTTTTCCAATGATTGCAAAAGAAGTAATCAAGAAAGTTAACTGTAAACTCCAACTTCGATCGATCTTCCGAAAGACACACCATGGTTTCGGCTAATTATTCCGCTCGAAGGGCAAATCACGTTGGTACCGTTGGACGCAATCGACCGTGAGAATCCTTTTAATTATCGCGTAATCACGGTGCCCTGTAAACCGATCTGTTTACAGGCTTACGCGTCTCCTTCTTCCCGCCCCTTGCCCGCTGTTCCTTTTTGTTCCCCGTTTCGCCTCTCCGTCTTTCCGTGATCCTCGACCGTTCGTCTGTTCGGTTTCTGTCGCGCGACCGTTCCTCTCTTCCCCCCCAGTCCCCTCCGTTTCTTTTTTAATAATAATGAACTGTACTAATTGGGTGGTTCGAAGCGACGGCGTACCCATCTGATTAATGCCCGATACTAAAAGCGGTTCGTGCCTAAAGAGTACGTTTTATAACTTCCTGGATTTCTCGCGGCGTTTTGCGGAAGTACCGGGGAACAATAAAGCCGGCCGCGCGTTCCGCTCGCTCTGCGCGCGAGCGAGCGAGCGAGCGAGCGCGAGCGCGCCTTCCGATTCTTCTTCGTGTTGGATACGTTTGAGTAGGGCTGCCGTTTAATGAAGACAGTGATCTAGGGCGAGGAGCGCAGTGAAACTGCAGGCTCTTTGCATTTCGAGCTCGGATGTCTGGAACTGCCGAGCATTTAATGCGATCAATACGCAGTCCCCGTAAAAATTGTAACAGATTATTCTCGGTTTCTTCGGGGATTCGTTATAGCATTCGAATGAAACTAGATATTTTCAAGATTATGCCGAATGTTGAATGCTTTCAATAAATAATCGCGAATCGAGCAGATCACCGGTCAGTTTGACTGGTACGGTGGTTCTAGTGTTGAGACGGATATTTCTGTTTTCTATTCGAAATCTGGAGATTTGTGACATTTTTTCAATTGAATGCCCTAAGATTTCATAGAGCAAAATACACAAAATGGAAAAAATAAAATATTAAATCATTCGATTGAATTGCATTGTTATTGCACGTTCATCTAGCTGAATATCATCGCATTAGGTAGAATTATTTAAAATATAGAAATGTTCTAAAATAATCATCGTTTGAGTGAACTATAGTAATTCGATTTGCTTGGGGGTCACCGGTGACCCCCATGGCATTCAACGTGTTAAAGAAGTGACAGTGCCTTTTTAATAATCGTAAAAGAAGAAATCATGAATTGGTCATTTCGACTCACCCGGTAGTTCCAGTGTTAAGAAACAGTATATAATCGTCGACGTTAGGGAAGTCAGCACTGGAAAATCTGAATGATTGCAAAAAGTTCCTTCGGAAATCCTTGAACGCTTTAAAAACTGGGAGAAACTCAGAGAAATCTGTGTACACCGGTGATTCTATACAAAAACCTACTCGAGACTTCGATCATCCGTTAATTCCCGTCTCCTTTTCGTTTTGCAGATGCGCGAACGGCTACATCGGGCAGAGATGCGAGTTTAAGGATTTAGATGGTTCCTATTTGCGTAAGTATACAGAACCTTAATCGTTGATTCGCTTCGAACCGATCGGAAACGACAGAAGCGAATTCTTTCCTATCTCGCTGTTTCCGATCCCGCCAATTAAATTGATTAGACCGCGGATCTTTATGCAGATCGCACGTTTTTAAGGAGTGAACGATGGAAATTATAATTAGATGAAAGCTCACTTACCGCAACACTTCCTCTTTGTTTGCTTCTTTTGAAGTTGATGGAAGTCCGGCTAAAATGAAATTCAGTGTTCCTTCTGTGAAAGTATGATCTTTTCTATCGTTTCTTCAGGTGAACGTTTAAAATACGTTGACACGTTGACTGCCAGAATTTCGAACGTTTCGTGTAACAATATTCTTTCATAACAATGGCAAATGGTGTTAGAAATAATTTTGACTTGGTACCACAATCATCTATTTTTTCTTGTTGTAATCGTATTCGAGCAATTTCGAAGCTCACCGGTGGCCACCGTGGCAGTCAACGTGTTGAGATACAAATTAACAGTCGCGATCCGCGTTTCGATTGCCGCCTTCCGAAGAGATCTTCGACGTCCTCGTGTCCTTGGTCCCCGGTCACCGTTCGAGACTTCCAGGTATAAAATCCTATGAGAAAGTCCTTGAGTACAGCTCGACGAAGTTGATAGGTTCGTTATGTCACTGCTTTCACCAAACACCAGGCACTCGAAAAATAACCATATAATTAGCTCCGGCGTTTCGACGTGCAATTTCGTTGTTACACGTTACACTGTTCTATTCTCGTATCGATTTCACCGCGAACAGATTCGTTGCTAAATGTTAAACAAGAATTAATAGGTCACTGTGAATAACTCGTACGTTTGGTTCATTGTTAAACTACTCTCGAATATGTTTCGATATGAAAACACAGGATTACCAACGTACATTTACTATTCGAATACAATATTGTTGCAATAAATGAGATTTTACTTTGAATTATTTAACACGTTGACCGTCATGGTCATCGATGACCGGAGCTTCCAAATTGCTCAAGAACAATTGCAGTAAAAAGATTTATATTAAATAAAGATACTTAACATAAATAGCTAGGTAATAGTGTAACATGACTACTACGATGCCAAATCATTAATAATTATTTTCAATTCGCCTTTGTTATTTACGGACATTTATTCTACAGTTTATTCTATTGTTCCCAGAAAGATTGATGTTCCCCTTAGGATCTAAATCAATGTTCAAAAATATCAGGGACCATAATCACCATTTACCAAATGTTTATAAAATTCAGTATGAGCCAAACTGACTCGTAAATATATTGTTAAAGAACAAGTGTTACTATAAGAAACGCTATAAATTCTCGTAGCTGTCGCGTTAAATCATTCGTCGTTTAAAAAGTTCATTAGAAAGTTACATTTTCGATTGGAATTCGATACCGTTGCAATAAACAAGATACCGCGATCGATGGAAAGAACGTTTGCACACATTTCACGTGTCGGGACACCGAGATCTGTCGTTACGATCGACGAGAGCCATCGATCGCACCCGGAAGTCTCGGGCAGTGGTCCCGGTTAGCGCCGCGTTTCGTGAACCGGTAGTCACGGGCGCTCGGGGACGCCGTCACGAGGATACAATTAGTTGGCATTCAATCTCGGAAGGCATTAGAACGAGTCTGGGAAACAGGAAACCGTGTCTGCATCGCTAAGAAGCCGATCTTGCGTTACAGCTTCCCGGCAGCGTGTAATGTTGGAGACGGCCAGCATCGCTGGCGGTGCCACGATAGCAGTATTCCTCGTCGTTATCATTTGCATAGCGGCTTACATCCACTGTAAGCGAAAGCAAAAGGAATTGCGGTCGAGGTACGTATTTTCTAACATGTTTCCTTCCCTTTTCGCATTCTGGCCCGTGCTGCTCTGCCTCCGCGCGCGTCGTCCATCGAGGATCCTTATCCGGGAACCGTTGGCAAACAGATTTAACCCTTTGAACTCTGTAGATTCTAATGTTGCACCAGTTATAATATCAAATATTTTAACGAATCAAAGAAACTAGATTTTCCAAATTTTCTGCTGAGGAAAATAAAAGATTGAAGGAATGTTATAGCATTTTTCATTTTCGCTAGGGATACTATAAAATTTAGCCGCTGTTGCTGATAAATTACAAAACCATCTGGAGTGCTAAGTTCATTTGGATTGTTTTACTTTCATATTTAACCCTTTGAACTCTGTAGGCTCGAATATTGCACCAGTTATAGTATCAAATATTTTAACGAATCAAAGAAACTACCCTAAAATTATTAGATTTTCCACACATCCAAATTTTTTTAAAATTTTTTAAAAATTTCATATTGTATATTTTACAAAAAGAGTCAATTTTATTACTTAACCCTTTGTCTTATGATTTCTTTCTCAACTCTGATCGATACCATTTTGTCAAGGTTTATTAGAAAAAGAGAAAAATTGTAGGCATATTCTATGTAATCAATAATTGATTACAAAAGAATAATGTTTACTTTGAATTCCAACGAATCGATTAATACTTGTTTGTTAAATCATGAAAATCATTACGAGTCTGACACGTTATAAGACAAGGGGTTGAAGTAACGATTATTATTAAGATTAACTTTTCGACAGATTCTAGTCTCAACTGTTTCGTTTAGAGTATAATCATAGTCTCTCGTTATTCGAGTGTAACTTTGTTAGAGTTAATTGTATCAGAGAATGATAGATCTTCCTGGTAGATGCAATGCACCCCTTACGAAGCTTCGCCCGCGGAAATATCTGATAACGCTTTTTTGTCCACTGAAATTTAACATTGCGCGTTATCTTTATGGCGACAGCAATTGCGTCGACACGGTGGATGGTCCTGGCCGAGATCCGGAGCTGAGGCCGTTTAGCAACCGCAGCCGCTCCCTCATGATCTTCATGACGAAGAATCCTAATAGCCTGGTAAGCGAAGAATACCAATATTAACGACATTATTTCCGTGTATCAGGCTCAGTACGCTTCTCTCGTTGTTTCTATTCACTTCTCTTCCATTCGAACGTAAACTTGCCTGCCGAGAGACGAATAGCCGGCGAGGATAGATTGGCAGATAATAACAAACCAATACTCATCTCTCTAATCTTGCAACCGAAGTTCTGAATGCATTACTGTCAATAACGTCTAAAGAGAGATGCCATTAAGTCAAATTGTTCGCAAGATTCCTAGCTGTAGTTACCAGTAGACAGTGGATGCTTGTGCAAGACCGGTACACAAAATACGCGAAGAGAAAGGTTGGAGATTTACGTACGTTACCGTGATGCTTCGATACTCTATTAGTATGAAACCTCCAAGTTTCTTCTAAAAACCACATTCTTGATCACACCTATAGAGTGACCAGTCTAAAACCTATCAAACAAAGCGGTAGCTTCCAAAACAAGAGTTTCAAGTTAACCCTTTGCGGATTCTTCAAAGAACACGAAGCCTTCAGCAGAGTCGGCCAAATTACACAACGGATGCTTGCTATTCGAGTTACTAAATCATTCGTTCGCAACTCGGTATTCGAAATACGAAAGTTTGATCTCGCAAAGGGTTGAAATCTCAATATTCCGATCTTGAAAATTCTCCAATCAAATTTCTCGAAACCACGAGCCTGCGCAAGCGTCCACTGCTCGTCGCGGGACCGTCGAGCCGAAAGAGTAAAACGCGCGACGAACGCGTCCGCGGTGTGTTTCGCAGGCGGCGATAGAGCAAACGAGAATGCCCGGATGGAGCAGCCCGGACGCCGCGGAGTCGATGAGAATGGCGTCGATCAGCGAGGGCAAGCGTTCGACGCAGTAGGGAAACGCCGATCCGGTGCCTGAGCCTCGACGACACGGAGCCGGGGTTCGTCTTCGGGCGTGCGAGCGGTCGTCAACGGTGTCGAGGCGAGAAAAACGGGAGCCGAGTACCTCGCCCGTTCTCCAAGCTTTCTGTCTCCGTCCATGGGCCACGGTTTCGCCGCGGAAAGCGCGAAAGTTCCCCCCTCGACTCCTCGAGCGAACGAACGAACAATTCGCCACGATAACGCTCTTTCACGACGACTGGCCCGTCACGAGGATCGACCTAGCATCCGAGGATCCCTGAAGAGAGAGAGAGAGGAAGAGAGGAAGAGAGGGAGAGAGATCGCCTCGAAGACGCCAGGACCACGGACCAGCTGGCGGAGAAAGAAAGAAAGAAGACTCGAAGAGGAATCCAGACGCGAGGAAAATCCGGCCGCGGAAATCACGTAGGATTTAA